GTCCAAGAAAGCACTACCAGTGTTCTGTGAAGTTGTCTGATATACAGAGCTCAACTTGCAGCCAAAATATATGTTATTTCAAAGCTTTGTACGGTACTCTTTCTCTCTCTCTCTCTCTCTCTCTCTCTCTCTCTCTCTCTCTCTCTCTCTCTCTCTCTCTCTCTTTTCCCCGTGCTTGCGGGCCCCCAAAACCTCCGGGCCCCGGGGCATTGCCCCCCCCCCTTAACTACCTGTATAAAACGGAAATCTGTCTAACGCGGAAACGAAAAAAACAACCGCTCCCATTCGATGGTTTTACCTGTCTAAAGGTACGCACAAAGAGAACGCTTGCTCGCTATAAAAGCGAGAGCGATAAAGCGAGCGCTTGTGAAGAAAGCGCTTGCTTGTAGTTGAGGTGTACACAGAGAAAGATTGCAAATCGCACTTGCGACTGGTCAGAACTTGGGCATTTGGCGCCACGGCGGATTCGAGTGAAGACGAACTGTTGTTGCTAGACAGTGTTTCGCCGAAAATTATCCTAGGAAAACGCAAAAGAATGGGGGTCCATGAGGTAAATAAAAGGAGGCTGCGATTGGAAGGTGAATATCACCACTTGTTTCCTTTACTTAATTAAAAGAAGCCCTTCTCGTTTTCAGTCCTACCTGAGAATGAGCCAAGAGACATTCAAGTATATCTGCGTGGTCTTTCCTTCTCTTAAAGTTAAAATGTCCCAAATTGCAGGTTTTTTAAACATGGCTGATACCAAAGACTCGACATCCATTTCGGTGCTTTTGTCACTGAGACTGGGAGAAAATACATTCTGAACCACCCAAGTCGTGACCAGACAGCCAGACAACAATGGGGGGCGGTACCCAGTACACGCTTGCAAGCGAGAAAGAATAAACTTTTGATTCTTTACGCTTTTCAAGCGTCGCTTGAAATCTCAGGCGCCATTAAAGCGAGCTTGCTTCTTGTGCGCAACAAGCAACTTTTGAGTAACATATTTCACGCGCGTGTCCCAACACGCTCGCTTTTATCGCGAGCAAGCGTTCTCTTTGTGCTCCCCTTAAGACAGAAAATGTTTGCCCGTTCAGCCCTGAATTGAACCAAAACGGAAAGTTTGGTTCCGTCCGCCGGCTATACGAGTGCCAGTGAAAGTGCTCGAGTGGCGCTCCAGCTCGGAAACATTCATTGGTAGCCAGAGGTCAGAGGTGTGAAATTAGTTTGACCAATGCCTGCTGACTTATCGTACAGCCAGCCGAGAAAAATAGTTCCTCGAATCGTTGTACATGCTTGTGAGTGGTGGCATTGGTTGACTGTGCTTATTACACCAATGGGTGGGGCTAAAGGTGGAAGCAAAGGAGATGTTCAAACGTTTCTGTTTTTAATAGGTCAAACAGTGGTCCTATGAAATACAAGCACTAGTGGTAATTGGATAAAGAAGACTGACACATGTCATTATCAGAGAGGATAGCAGTTGAGAGTTGTGAAGTTTTGACCACTCGTGATTGCTTGCCGACCGGACAAGCGACCCTTGATCCCATCAGCTGGGCCTTTGTCCCCCTCCATTTCCCCACTAGATTCACCTATCTAAGATGGAAAATGTAACACATCGACGAAATAAGCAAGGCTAGGCTAGATCGATCCATCCTTGTTTAGGCTAACGGTAACGTGATCCGCAGTGTTCCATTAGTAATGAGCGTCCCCAGACTCAGAAAGGATTTGGCGTTTGAATAGAATATTACTGTGCCTAAACCTGGTTTATAATCTATTTGCACACTTTTACTTTTGGGCTGGCCTCGTGTAACATCTCTAAACAGGTGGCCTTCTCTGATCTGTTTTTGTGTTCTTTTGTTTTGTATTTCATTATAGACATACCAAGAATTGGCTTTCGTGTAAAAAAAACTCTTCTTTGGTTTCCTCTTTGAAAATTCCCATCCAGAAACTCAAGTCATAGTCTCCAAATCTCAACACGTTAGGCCTAATCTCTATTTACACCCAAGTTGTTTGTGGGTCCAACGGAAATTCCCAATCTTCATATAGCCGAGGGCCTCTAGCCTAGCCTTTCTCTTGTGTTGTTTGTTGTCTGAAAAGTGCTCAAAATGGCGACGCTCAAGGAATCACCCTGATCAGCCTGATATTGTTTTTAGAAGCCTGTGTTTGGTTTGCAGACCATGATTTTAGGCCTATATCTTTTCTGCATTGAGGGGTGAGGGGTTTATCTGTTTTTATCCAGCCCAAATGGATCCAACGCAGTCCTTCATTGAAGAAATTGACTATCAAGAACTTAAGTTCATTGAGGTGAGCATAGTACAGCCTGCGGCGATTTTGTAGTTTCGTTCATTAAAGTCAAGACTTGGGGGGTTTCTGGGGGGCTTGCCCTTATAAAAGTATGGAGGTGGGAGGGGGGGGGGGTTCAGGGGGCCATCAAGACTTCTAGATTTCTTCTCTGGATGTAAACAAATGGATCGTGGACTTTAACTCATTTGCTATTTTTTTCGGCTTGTGGACGAATTTTTTTTCGGGAGGGAGAAATGAGATGAGGCGCATTTTCGGTAGTTCCCACCCCCCTTATTTGATAGAGCCTGACCTACATCTAGATCTATATACGTTTGATTCGCGGCAAGCTAAGATGTCAAACCTAACAACTGCAAAACATTAAATTGTGGTAAAATTCAGGGGGGCATGCCCCCCTGAAACCCCCCACCTTGTTTTTATTAGGTCAGGGGGGCAAGCCCTCCTGAAACCCCCCTACTCTTGGGGCCAAAACCAGCGAATAACAAATGCGGGGTGGGAACTACCGAAAAAGCGCCTGAGATGATGACTAGTGCGAAGTTCACAGGTCTTGGGGGCCATGAATTCAAATAAATATCAACATATTATATAGATCTAGATCTAGATCTACCAACATTTTCAGTATGGTTTGTAGAATACATCTGTATTGTTTGAGTATTTTTTAACTTTGGTTCCTGTAAGAGGCGATTATGCAACACAATTGTGATTGGCTGCGGATAAAATTTGAAAACCAAAAATTTATAATCTCAGATGAAACTCAAAAAATATGTTTGCACCTAAATCTAGATCTAGATCTAGATTCTAGATTCTAGATCTAGAAAAATCTAGTAGTCAAATTATACATCAAAATAACCATCTGTATATATAGAACAGGAAAATATTGAAAAATTAGCAGTTATTTAACATGCATTCCATAATATTTACATTTGGATCATAACCTCAGATATTGAAAAAAAATAAATTTTAAAATAATTTTGAAAAAGGCCACCTCTATTCTCACCCGGAGTGAGAATAGTGCAGGCGAGTATTGTGTCTATTCTCACCCGGTGCGCGTTCACCAAATTTTGCGTTCACCCTAAACCACAGAATTCTACACTGTGATAACAGAAAAATTGTAGAATTCTGTGCCGTGAACAAACGTTCCATTACAACTGTAGCCTGCTAAAAGCGTACAATTTTGTCTGTGGGCAGTGGAGAGAGAGAGAGAAAGAGAGAGAGGAGTAGCGCGAGAATTTCCGGGCAAAACAAAATGGCGACCCGCGTAGTTCGGCTCGATTCGAAAAGTTAAATAGCCGTAGCATCTTTGTAGACTACCAAATTAATTTACTTTTGTGTTTTAACATCATTTTTTAACTTTGTTTTGGTCAATTTGATCGTCCACACCGATAGACAGTATTCAGAAAGAGACAGAGAGAGAGAGAAGAGGGGAGGAGTTGATCTTGCGAGAACTTCCGGGCGGGTGAGAATAGCCACTTTCTTTGAAAAAAGGATCCCAAACAGAAAAAAACCCTTGTATCTTATATGGAATTATTCAGAATTGCATTTGGAATAAACCTATATGTCTTGGGTGGTACTTTTTGAGCAAATTCACCAAAAAGTAGTGATTTTAGGGAGAAAAAAAATATTTTGACTATTTCTAGCACTCAAAAATAATGATTTCTCAATTACAGTGCACTGGCAATTTGAGTCCAGTAGTATCAATATTATTAAGAAGAGTCCTACACTTCTTTAGTGAGTGAAATAATAATACATTTTGTTGTGTAAAAGTACTAAGACTGGTGTCTGGGCTATAATTTGGGCTTCGCGATAAAACAATGTCGTATAAACTTGGAAATCGTGTTTCAAAACTGAATCAAAGCTTCGGATTTTGGTGGAAACGCTTGACCCGGAAGTCAACTTTATATGACCTTTATTTTAAAATGGATATGTGGATTGGAATAGAAACCAAGCTAAAATTGAACGTCGGTTCTCGAGCCGGCGGGGGCGGCTTAGCGTACTGACGGCACTCTAGGTGCGTCGCCCCCCCACGGCTCAGCGTAGCGAATGAGTTAATGAACGGAATTACAAGATCATCGCCACCCTCGAAGCACTCTGCACTCTCGTCTCTCCTACTTTCGATTCCTATCTCTGGCTTGTGGTACTGTCAGTGGTTAGTCTGTCAGAAAAGTCGGCACTCCTGTACAATTGCGGTCCCGTTTAAAGGGTACTTGTTTTGACCCCACCAACAATTACTTCTGGTTCTAAACGATTACTTTTTGATGGGAAACCTTGATATACCCTTGTGTCGCTATCCCTCTCCCCTGGTGAGAATAGCTCCCACCGCGGTCTGGTCATGAGGCGAGGACTTCCCCTGACCTCTCGCAGGCCGATAAAATCACTTGTAGAGGCCCTTGGTTCAAGGTGGCTTACCGCATGTAGATCTAGTGTGTATGTGCCAGACCACGGCAGTTTAATAAGATCAAGCGGCTGTGTCTCTTGTTGCGTGAAGAAAACATGAATGGCGTGTGTGGTCACATGACTGACCCATTTCTTCTCAGTTTGGATGCTATTGCAGTGATCTCCCTTGATTTGTGTGCCGAGACCAGGTCGAATCGCAATGCCTCTCAATAGCCCACAGTGCGGCAAGGTGCCGTGACCGCGTCATTTTTTTTATGGTGCGTTGCAATATGCCCTCACCGCATCATTTTGCCTGCCCAGTGCGCGGCATTTCATGATGCTATAGTTCTCTGAAATTGCAGAGAGAAACTTGTTACTTGCATATTTTACTTGTTTTTCATTGATTTCATTCATTCATTTGTTCATGCATTCAGAATGACCACTCATTTAAAAAATAATGGAAACATTTATTTTTCAAAAAACAATATGCATACAAAATAAGAAATGAGGTAGTAAAGG